TATTTAATTATAAAATATTTATTGTGCCTTTTTTTTTTATTGCAATACTTTCTATGTGACAGAAGCTAGTCTTATTTTCTAACAGAGTCTTGTCACCGTCGACAAGGAGAAGGACCATTTAGCGCTGGGCAGAGGGAGACGTGGGACCACGGCAAATTAATTGAGTTCAAAATCATCCTCCATCTTTTCAAAGCAATTGATAACAAAGATTTGAATATAAATGCACCACTCAATTAATGCATCTCATTTAATAATTTAAATATTATATGGCTAAGATTAATTCCAATAACTTGTCAAATAAGTTAATATAATTGTCTTTTTTTTAAAATAATTATAATTTTTTACAATATTTTAATATAAACAACACCAACAAATCAATAACATAATCTTTATTATAGCGGTCAATATCTTACTTCACATAACATACTACGTAGTCTTATTTTTGAAGTCTTATAAAAAAAATTAAGCTAGAGTCGGTGTTAAAAGTAAATTAGCCAATATTTTTTTAAAATTAATTAATAATTAGATTAATATTTTTTTATTAAAAAAACACATGTTTGTTTATATTTTTATTAAATTATTTTACTTAAAATTATATTTTAAAAATAAAAACATTTATCAATTCTATTAAATTAAATTATTTCACCTTAAGAATAAATTCTATCTTTATCTGGACAACTAATAGAGGATAGCGAAACTGATGAGGAAGGGAAAAGGGGAGAAATCCTGTATAGAATGTAATTCATGAGCTTCAAAAAAAACAAAAATAATAAAAGTCAATGTTAGGCACACGTCGTTTCAGCCGCCCACTTTTGACAAAAGGCAGAAAATAATAATAACAATAATTATTTAGCAGCATATTCTTTTAACATGTTCTTCCTGTTATATGAAATATGAAAATTCTATATTTTAATTATTACACGTTTATTTTACAAATTAATCTTTATTTTTTTTTATATTATAACCGTTTTAAAGTAATTTTTAATACGAATTAAATAAGAAAATGTTAAGTGTAACAATAAAAATGTAAGAGATTAATTTTTTTTATATGTGATAAAATGAAAATTAATATTATGTATAAGTATTAATTTTATTTATTTTTTAATTTAACTATATGATTGGACGAGATGGAATCAAGCTATACATTAAATTATATTAATATAAGTTATATATAACTTTATATTGTTTAATATTTTTTATTAAAAAATCTTATTAAAAAATAATCTGTTATATTAAATATTTTTATCACACAATAGAACATAAAATTTTAAATTAATTTAAAATTATATATTTTATTCGTATATATTAAAATTAATGAAATATATATTTTTTTAATACATATATTTAAAAATATTTAAATTAAATTTTTATAAATTTTAAATTTAAATAAATTTTGATAATAACAAAGAAAATATATAGTTATAATTTAATCATTGAATCAATAAAAATTATAATTTAAATAATATCATCAATGACATAAGAGTAATTGTAGGTTTGTAACTCATATGTAATTTAATCTCTTCTCATTATATATTTTGTTTTAAAATTTATGTGAAATAATAAAAAAATGTTAAAAAATAACATGCATTAATATTTAATCTTAATTGCTTTTCGTCATTAATTTATATTGCGATTTCTATCTTTGTAATTTTGTATCACATTAAGTTTCTTTAATTTTTTAAATTTCTTAAAACAAGTTATTTATTCCAAAATTTTATCTAATAATTAACAAAAATATAATAGAGCCATAATATATTAATAATTTTTATAAATTAATTAATAAAAATATATAAAATAATTAAATTGAAATAATAAATGAAATGTAAAAAATATAATATTGTTTATTTTATTTTATTATTTTATATAATTTTTATTGAAAATTTATATAAATTATTGATATATTATATTTTTGTAGTATTTTCATTGATTATATATTAAACAAAATTTTGGGTTGATAAATTTAATTTGAATAAGTAAAAAAACAAGGTAAGTAAATGCAAACAATTAAAACTTAAAAAAATATATAATTTAGATATAAAAACAAGGAAAGCAATTAAACCTAATATTATAAAATTTACCCCTATTTCACATTTTTTTCCTCTTTATCATGTATAATGGATCACATCTCATATATTTTTTTTATAGGTAAATATACTCTCTAAGAAGAATTTAGATAGCGATTTTTTTAACAATTTATTTTTTCATTTTGTCAAGATTTATTTGTAATTGAGGGTTAAAATAGATAAAGATATTGATAATTATTTATTATCATAAAATAAGTAAAAAGTAAAAAGTAAAAAGTAAAAGATAAGTTTTGTTACATTGCTCTAAAATAACAAGCTATTTTTTATAATAAAAAATGCAAAACTTTAAAGGAAAACATGAAAAAAAAATGCATAATTATAAATATCAATAAAAAATAATGAGATAAAAAATGAAATATTGGGTGCTAACATTCATTGTGGAAAAATGACAAAATATTGATTAAAGAGATTTTAACATGTGTAAAAAAAGTACAATAGAGATACTAGTGAAGAGAATAAATGGTGAGATAAACAAAATTAATGACGTAATTTTTTAAAAACAATTATTAAAAAGAGTTTAAAAATAAGTAATATATTGAAAATTTTAATTTTTAATTAAAATTAATGAAGTTGTATAATAGATGTAACTAACCTCACCTATGTCTTAATTGTTGTATAGTGAATGGTCTGGAAAGCCTGCGAAGAAACTGATCTAGGGATGGCAATGGGTAAAGTACTCAATGGGCACCGGCAAAATTTATCCACAATGGGTAGGGTATTTACCTGCTATACGGGTACGGGTATGGGTGTGGGTAAAAATTCGTAAATTTTAATGGGGATGGGTGCGGGTATGGGTATATAAGTACCCACCCCGCCCCATACCCGCATATATATATATATATATATATATATATATATATATATATATATATATGCTTGAACTTTATTCTATAATTATGCATTAAATTTTTATATTATTATATTATTTATGTGAAGTTATATAAGATTAATATAAAAATATATTTAATAATAAAGTAAACCAAAAAATTTATTTTGGTTTATATTTTTAATAGAAAAATTTATTTACTATTTTATATCATTTAATTAGGCTAACACAATTTAATTATTACATAGTTAATATAAGATTGACTTTTTTTAAAATATTATTTATATATGACACACATAAAATATTTTTTACACAAATATTTTTGTTAATAAAATCATATTGATGTTTAAATCATAAAGTGAATGATAAATAATAAATATATTATAAATATTTTATAAATTTTACAATCACCTACTATTACTGTAAACTTATTATTTATTAATAATATTTAAATTTTATTTTTATATTTTAATTTAAAATAATATTTTTCTATGTAACATATGTATTACAAGCACAACTATAATCTATTGAATCTAAATAATATTATTCTAACTATTTATTCACATTCAAAGAAGTTTTTGAAAAGATATAAATATAAAAAATTATTGTTAATTTTTATTTGTTAATTTTTTAAGATAAAAAAGTATAATTTTTTTAATATACACGTATATTTCTTTATTATAAAATTTTATTGTAACTATTTATCTTTTATTCAAATTCTATTTTTTAAAATTTATATACATTATAAATATTTAATTCACTAAAATAATTTTTCAAAAATTTATATTTTTGATAAAATACTTTCGTATAGTATATGAGTTAAAAAATACTAGTATTAATATATATATATATATATATATATATATATTAATTATATTACATTATTTTAATTAAATCTATTATTTTTCTTACAATTTCAAATTCAAAAGTTAAAAAAAGTATTTTATGTATCAACTTTCTGTTATTAGTATTGAACTTATCTACTTTAACTCTATTCTCATTCTCAATGTCTGTCTCACTAAAACTTAATAACTATGAAATGTTATTCATTAGAGTTAGTTGTTAATGCCGTCACAAGAGGTTATTAAGTGATCCCACACGAAGGGATAACCATTGTATAGATCTATTTTGTTGTCGTTTTGACATTACCAACAATCAAATCTCACACAAGATAGAATTATCACTGACAAATAACTTGTGTATTTAGTTTTTGCTTATTGTTTCTAAGAATTTTAGTTTAGAAAATTATTATATTAAGATACATTTAACATTTATGATCTTTGAATATTTATTTTTTATCTATATTTGTACCTTGTTCGGCAACTATATATTAAATTTTTGTATTATTATGCTACTTATGTGAAGTTATATAAACATATTTTTCTTTACAAATATTTTTTTCTCAAACAAGCGCTGGTAATGGGTACAAGACGGGTATGTGGGTACTCAGAGGGTACGGGTACGAGGATTAATATTCATACCCACGCGGGTATAGAGCCGGGTATGGATATTTTTTTAAAACGCGGGTATAGGGATGAGTACTGTAGTACCCTACCCATTGCCATCCCTAAACTGATCTCATCAAAATCCGAAGAGGGGCAATATAGATAAACTCTGCAAAATGCTTGGCAGCCAAATTATAGGAATATAATAGGAAAAATGATAAATAAATAATGTGATACGATGAGATGAGAGAAAAAAAAAAAACAGTGATAATGTTTAGATATTTATAAATAAGAATTGGTATAAATAATTTTATAAGATATATAATTTCTTCTTAATAAATCAATGACATTTTATTTATAAAAAGTTAATATAATATTTCAGCTTCATTAGTTTATCTAAAAGAATTATTGATTCGACCAAATAACTTCGATAAGAACGTTAGTTTAAGTGGATAAATTTTGGATCTTTGACTTTGAGCCACACACTTGTGACCTTTTCCGAAAGCTAAGCCTTGTCCGAATCACATTAAAAGGGAATTTAATATAATAAAAGCATATTATCAAAGAAAAGTCAAACAGCAAGGGCGATATAGCTTTGCGGCTATGCCTATAAATCCTTTGGCAGATGCTGACACTGCGATATGTGATTGAAAAAATAATGGCTCCCAAACAATGGCCTTTTGAGCAAATGAATGAAATGTTCTTCCCAACCTTCTATTTATCCCTTTCCTTTTTTATCACTATATTAGTAATGATTAAGCTCGCAAGAAAAACCAAAACCAATCTGAACTTGCCTCCATCACCACCAAAACTACCAATCATAGGCAATCTCCATCAGTTAGGAACACTACCACACCGTTCCTTTCGTGAACTCTCACTCAAGTACGGTGATGTGATGATGTTGCAGTTGGGGAAGAGCGAAACACCAACTCTGGTGGTTTCATCTCCACAAGTAGCCATGCAAATAATGAAAACCCATGACATAGCTTTTTCAAACCGACCCCAAAACGCTGCTGCAAAAATCATACTCTACGGATGCACAGACATTGGGTTTGGGCTATATGGAGAAAACTGGAGACAGAAAAGAAAAATATGTGTTCTCCAATTTTTAAGCATGAAAATGGTGCAATCATTTCGTAGCATCAGAGAAGAGGAAGTTGCTGAGTTGATGACTAAGTTACGTGAAGTAAGCTCAAGTGATTCGAGTTACGTGAATCTTAGTGAGATGATTAGGTCAACGTCAATGAATATTGTATGTAGATGTGTTCTTGGACGCAAGCATTCGGGAGATAGTTACATGAAAGTGGAAGAGGCTGTAAGGAATATTATGGTTCATCTTGCAGCTTTCACTGTGAGAGATTACTTTCCGTTGTTTGGTTGGGTTGACGTTCTCACCGGAACAATCCAGAAATATAAGGCTACCTTTGAAGCATTAGATGCTTTATTTGATCAAGCAATGGCAGAACACTGGACAACACACTCAAAAGACAAAGGCTTCTTGGATAGTCTTCTCCAACTTCAACGGGATAGTAGCATGCTGAACTTTGAGCTCACCAAAAATGACATCAAAGCACTTCTAATGGTCTGTTCTCTCTCTTCATCTCTCACAAGAATTATTCTAATTTTTTAATTCATTTTTTCTATTTTTCTCCATCTTTTTTATCATATGCCTATTTCCCTCCTCTTTTCTTCGTACAACTTTGGATGAAGAATAAAATACATAAGAAAAAAAAGCAACAAAAAGGTTAAGATTTTGAATTATAAATAATAGTGACAATTATCTAATTGTGTGTACGTCATCTTAAGTAATATTCATCAAATCATAATACGTACTTCTCCATAATTATATTATATCCATTACGACATTTGAAGGTTTGAAAAATATTTTTTCTATTTATAGCTAAAAGTTGTTCACAAAACTCATAAAAGTGAGCAACTTTTTAGTTTTCGTAAAAAATTACCAATTATTGATATTTTAAAAAAGTGAAATATTAAACTATTGCTTATTTATGTTTATCAACATTTAAAAAATTGTGTCTAAATTATAAACCATCATTGGTAGGGTGCTAACACGATCAGATCGAATTTTATTTATCTAATGTTTTGAAAATTACTGTCATTTATTCTATTTAGATAAAAAATTTATAATTAACATGACTATAGATAAAAACTTATTGTCAAAATAAATAAACAACGGTCACGTAAACAACGACCTGTGAATACTCATAAAACGATTATCTAAAATTTAGATAATTTTTTTCACCTCTAAAAAGGGTTTTTTTTTTTTTTTTATTACTTAGACACAAACATTTTAGTGATCATAAAACATAATATGATCATATACATGTCATATTATCATTAAAAATAATAATAAAAATTTTAAAAATTTCAAATAAATAAAGACTAAATATACTTTTTAAAGATTATAATCACATTAAATTTTATTTACAATAACTAAAATATATTCAATTTTTGACCCATTTTGTTGTAAAGACCGATAAAATTGAGTGTTGTCTGAGCAATTCTTTTGCTCTTTGATATTGCATATGTATAACCTCAGTGTTAAATTGTCAAAAGTTAACGGACACATAAATATTAATGTTAAGTGCATCTCTTAGTGTGAAAATATTTAATAATTTTCCAGTAAGAAATGAAGTTGCTACTAAACCACGGAACTTCAATACGTTTGCAAGGATTAACCTTTAAATATTAACATATTTTTTGAGATCCTTGTAATTTCTTGAGATAAATAAATTAAAGAAAAAAATAAGTATTCGAGAGGGTTTACACCCTTAGGATATATTTGAAAATCGACCTTTAAAAATATAACTTTTTCATTTTTAATAAATATATATTCTTTAATTTTATTATTTTTAAATAAAATAATACATTAATTTTAAATTATTATTATGAATATTGAATAACTTTACTATTTTTTTAAAAATATTTATCACTTTCTTTTTTTAATAAAAAACTTAAGTTTTAATCATATCCTTATGCTTTATGTGCCACACGCCTGTGAAGATTTGATAGAAAGATATATCATTCTTCATGAATGAGATTAGGTCTTGGTAGCTTGCCAAAAAAGGATTAGGTCTTGTTCATTTAAAAGATATTAATTATAGTTTTTTAATCAAAATATTTAAATCTTTCATTTTCTTTAAAATTTTTATTTTATTGCTTGGCTAGTGTATCAATTATTTATAAATTTCATAAGAAAAAAAAACTCTTTTTATAATCATAGGACATGTTCGTTGGAGCAACTGATACTACTGCAGTAGCGTTAGAGTGGGCTGTTACAGAGCTTATAAGAAACCCAATCATAATGAAAAAAGCACAAGAAGAAGTGAGAAAAGTTGTAGGGCATAAATCAAATATAGAGGAAGATGATATCAATCAAATGCAATATCTAAAGTGTGTAATCAAAGAAACTCTAAGGTTACATCCACCTGCTGCTCTTTTGGCTCCTCGAGAAACAATATCAAGTCTGAAGCTGAATGGATATGATATTCCAGCAAAAACAATGGTATATATTAATGCATGGGCAATTCAGAGAGACTCAAAATTTTGGGAAAGCCCAGAAGAGTTCATACCAGAGAGATTTGAAAACAGTGAGGTTGATTTTCAAGGCCAACATTTTCAGTATATTCCTTTTGGTTTTGGGAGAAGAGGATGTCCTGGACTTAATTTTGCACTTGCTACTGTTGAGTATGAGTTGGCTAGTCTTCTTTATTGGTTTGATTGGAAACTCCCTGATGATACACTTAATCGAGACATAGATGTGAGTGAGATATTTGGACTTGTTGTCTCAAAGAAAGTGCCACTTAATCTTAAACCAATAGCCTTTTCGTTTTAATCTAAATTTTAAAGCTTTGTTCTTAACGTGATTATTGTTGTAAATACCTTTCCTTTGTATGGTGTGTTGTTTAGATACTACGTAAGTGCTGTTCACCATGTATTTAAAAGGTGATAAATTTTATGTATGCCTGATATGTAATTATAATTATATGTCTGGTCATATGTCATATACTGTATTTGTTAATTAACAAAATATAACTCTGTCATTTTCTTCCTTTAAAAAGCTTTATATACCTCTTGTTGTATAGTTTGGGTGTGCACGTAATATCAAACACAGTCTGCAACACACCTAATAACTTGTGTGGATATGATAGTCGATAGATACTTGAACTGCATAGATAATTGTGTGGATATGATATATACTTTTGGGGAACAACTATCCATAAAACAACAAAAAAGGCAAGATTATTAAAATTTGTTGAAAATTTAGTGACAACTTTTCATTCATAATTTCTTTTTAATACATGATTCTATTTCTCTTTTTTCTGTTGTCAAAAGCACTTGTAATAGTTGATCAATTATTGCTACAATATTCTTAATTCTAACTCGTGCTCGAGTTTAAGTTTTTGAAAATGTAATTGCTTTCAAATTGTTTGCAATAGTCTTATTCAATTTGAACCACAATAGCCTAATTGGAGGGGAAAAAAATTCCTGGTTATTTTTAATAAATATATATATTTTAAAAAAATCTCCATTTTCTTCTTTCTAATAGTATATATAATAACGTTCATTTTTAGAGATTAAAAAAAAAGGAAAATAGCAGTTTCCGCCCTTTAAACCATCCTAAATCACTGTCTAAAATTCTCCTTACTTAAATAATATTAAGAAAGATAGCATTGTAGGTAGTTTTAAATGTATTGATATGTATCAAAGTTTTTTATTTTTTATTTTTTATTTAGTGCTTCTTGATTATTAGGAATTTAAACCAGTCTTTAAGAGAGTCAAAATTAAACTCAATAATGGATCCACATCACTCTGATTAAATCTAGACATTTTGTAAATAATGTGATTTTTTGTGAGAAGTTGAGTTTGCTCTTTGGAGACTTGTGTGCCAATCAGGAACTGTTACATATGGCTATAGACTACTAAGTATGAAAAATTCAGTTATATGGGTATTATAATATGCTCTGCTTACTTACTATGATGTATGAGGAAAAGTAGGCATGATAATATTTTTGTGGATATTTCTTTATATAATTTTTTTTGTCGCTATTTTGACTGAAACAAGATATGCTTCAGGAATTCACCACTTGCATTTTTATTTGTTTTGGTGTTTGAAAATTACTGGTCAGATTATTTCATTCAGTACCCTTTCAATTTGCTTTTCTTTTCTGCATTGTTGATTGATACCTTAGTCAGTGCACATAATAGATAGTGTTGAAATCTGTCATAGGTGGCTAAATATATTAGTAGTGTATGCATGTTTCGAACAGTTGGTATACAATGCTCAATGTTAGTGAATAACAAATAAAAAATTTAAATTTAATTATATGTTAAGATGTTCTAATGATGAAGTTGAGGTTAAAATATTTTTGTACGTTTGAAACCTTAACAAAGATGAAGTTATACTAAATTGGTAATAAGTTAGATATAAAGTGGGTAAAGGAATATTTTTTTCGAAATCTGAAGGCAGAGACTGGCGTCTGCTTAAGAGGGTGATAGCTTGTTTGAAGCAACATTTTTCATAAAGAAGACCAACGGTTTGAAAATGTGTTTTTCGTTCAAACTAAGGAATAATATTAAGATATACGCTTAGCAAAGACATAGCTCAAGTTATTATTATTATTATTATTGAGATTTTTTTTTTGGTTGAATTGTTGTTGGGCGAAGTCGTGATTCATAATTATGATTAGTCGTGGTTCACAGCCACCAGTTACAGTTTATTTAGTTTAGTTTGTACGCGATTTTTTTGAATTCTATATCCGAGGATCATGAGCAGGTAATCCAATTTCACTGAAAATTATTATAAATGATAAAAAAAATTATAATAAATTTTAATAGGGATGTATATTTGTGGAATTAAATTTAAAGGTTTAATTTCAGTTAACTTTTAGAAAAAAAATTTATAAAAAAATTAAGACGAAACTTATTTTTTTAAGGAATTTAATATGTTAAAAAATAAGATTAGTGTAAAAAATAATAATACACACACATATATATATATATATATATTCTTAAATTTTTTTTAAAAAATCACTCACTAAAAAGACGAGATTCAAGAAAATATAACTAGTTTCAAAATTTCAAACAATTTCCTTTAGCCAACTTATAAAAAAAAAAAAAGAAGGAAAAATCTTCCAAGGTAGACCCCAAGAAATGGCATTCCTATAAAATTTAGGTGAAATAAAGAGGGTCTAGACTCTTGATTGAAGCACAAGAGCCCATAGGGTAACAGAAGGGATCGTATTCCTATTGCAGATCATCTATTAAGTTTATATTATATTAAGTATGAGTATATAAGGCAGAAAAGCCCCCCATTTAATTTATATTCACATCAATTATATTTATTTTATGTAATATTTCTTTTCATCTTATTTGTAAAAATATAATTATTTTTATATTTTAAAATATAAAAAAATAAAGACAAGTTTTTAGATATATTAATTAATAATTTTTCTTATATTATTTATTATGAATTTTGTACTAATAAGTTACTTATTATTTAAATAAATGAATAAATTTATTCATTTTATTAATTTTCCTATTTATCAGATAAAGAAATTTAAAATATATATATATATATATATTTAAGAAAAATATATTTATTTTTTATTTAAAAAATTGTAGGAGATAAAAATATATATTTAAGTGAAAGATTTAGCATTAATTTCGACATACCATTATTCATGACTGAGTTTAGGTCATATTTGAAATTAAATTTAAATATATGCATTATTTTTCTTTAAAATCTATCAATTACATATTTTTTGAATGATAAAAATTTAAATGTTATCACTTTTAATTACTCAATTATTGGAACTGACACTACTGCGGTGACATTAGAATGGGCAATTTCAGAACTTGTGAGGAATCCAACGATAATGAAGAAAGCAAAGGAAGAAGTGAGAAAAATTATCGTGAATAAATCAAATATAGAAGAAAATGACATCAATCAAATGCATTACCTAAAGTGCGTGGTCAAAGAAACTCTAAGGTTACACCCACCAGGTACCCTTCTGGCTCCTCGGGAAACAATATCTAGCGTTAAATTGAAAGGGTACGATGTTCCTGCAAAAACAATGGTATATATCAATGCATGGGCAATTCAAAGAGACCCTAAATTTTGGAAAAGCCCTGAAGAATTCTTGCCAGAGAGATTTGAAAACAGTGAGCTTGATTTTAGAGGTCAAGATTGTCAGTTTATTCCATTTGGTTTTGGGAGAAGAGGATGTCCTGGAATAAATTTTGGAGTCACTTCAATAGAGTATGTTCTTGCCAACCTTCTTTATTGGTTCGATTGGAAGCTGCCTGAATCTGATACACTTAAGCAAGACATAGACATGAGTGAGATATTTGGACTCGTTGTCTCGAAGAAAATGCCACTTCATCTTAAACCGATACCGTTTTGATTAATTTAAGCTATAAAATTCTCGTTAAGTGTGTTGTTGTGAGTTATCTTCTCTTCTTTGTGCAATGTGTTGTTCTAGATACTATGTTATGGTGTGCTGCTCATTTGTAATCTTCTACTATATCAATTTATATGACATATATATTGTCAAACGCTGCCCAGCTCATGAGTCTTAAATTCGCATTTTGTTACGTTGAAATGCATGCAATTTATGTTGGTTCAACTATGGTATAGATGGATACTGTCGATTTTGGTCTCAATCTATATTGTTTGGGTATGATCTGTCAGTTGGAAACCTCTCTTTGTTTTTGTTGATGATTTTACATCATGAGAATAAATATTTACCCCACGTATGAATAAACTTTTTGCATAAAAATATATTAATAAATGAATTATATAAATGAATATATATATATATATATATAAACATACTTTTTTCATAAAAAAATAATATTTAAGTGTGTTGTTGTGAGTTATTTTCTCTTCTTTGTCCAATGTGTTTTGCTATAATACTATGTTACGGTGTTCTGCTCACCTGTAATCTTCTACTGTATCAATTTATATGACACACATATCGTCATTAAATGAAAAACATGATTCTCTTAAATAAAATAAGTGACCGAAAAATATGCTTTTTTAGTTCATTTTTACTTACGCTACAAATCTTCGCTTAAACTATTATATTAGATTATATAGATTAATGTATTTTTTGATATATTAGCTTAAGCAGATAAAACTTGCTTAAGCTAAATTAATCTTGTTAGATTTATAAAATACTAGCTAAAGTTCTATCAAAATTTGTTTAAGCCATTTAAAATTTGTTGAAGTTAATCATACTCTCTGAAACGTATTTTTTAGTTTACTTTTATTTAAAATTTTTCCTTTTCACTTAAGAAAGCTTAAACAAATTTAAATTTACTTAAACTAAATTTAGTGGCTCAAGCGAATTTTACTTAAAATCTCTTCTAACTTGCTTAAGGGTGCTTCTGAGTGTTCAAATCCTTCCATAAATTGTTTAAGCGAGAAAGAAACTGTAACATGCAATTACTGCCAAAACAGCAGATCCAAATTTCAAATACTACACTCAGTGAATTTAAAAAGCATACAGTTGTATAAGTAAACCCGCAATGATGACGGCTGGACAAGCCGATTCATTTTCTTCGAAAATTGAACAGTACAAGGAAAATAATGGATCTACAATTCATCCAAGATTTGGAGTCAAATCCAGCTTTCTACATATCTGTGCTTTGCATCTTAAGCACCTTCTTGATTGCGTTCAAGTTCACACGAAGAATAAATAATTTAATTTCATCTCTTTTATAAATAAAATTTTATTTTTTTTAATTTTTATACCGATAAAACTTGCAATGTGACAAAAAAATTTTAAACAGAAAAATTAATTTAAAAAATATCATTTTAATAATATATTTATTAAAAAATAATGAAAAACCTTAGATTGAGTACAAATAAGATCAGCATGATACATATAACTCTAAAGTAATATTAAAGAAAGTGAAAATTACACAATGGAACTAATAATTCCTATCAACTCCCATCCCCTTATTAATTAGATTTAGTCTCATAATTATACCTTTTTATCATATTATTTTATATTTTCACTTGAGCGTAAGTACAAAATTTTACTTAATTAAACTATACAATTTTCACAAAAATGAGACTGAATCATTATCCGACTTCTTTACTGTATCCGGCAGTGATGATAATACAGTGCCGTAGCGACATGACACTTTATTTATCACACCATCTCTAAAATTAAATATTATTAATAAACTAAAGACACAGTTAAAATATAGTGTCATTAATATGCAACCTAAAGAAACATAAAAAAATTATATATAATAAAATTTAATTTAAATTATATAATATTACAATCATATTTATAAGATTAAGTATTATAATTTTTAACTAAAATTATTATTTATTAAATTTTATCATATATAAATTAAGCACACATTAAAAATTAATTTAAAATATATTTATGGTAAATATGGTAGAGTCTAAATAAGGAGAGTAAGACACTAATAAATCATTAACAAGCACATTGCGCACCGCATGGAATTAAAGGGCGCAGGATGAGGTGTGATCCACTCTTGTATTTTAAAATTAACGTCTTTTCTTGATAGAATGGAGGTTGAGTAACGTCTTTTCTTGATAGAATGGAGGTTGAGTTGCCTTTCACTCATGTGTTATATTCTAATAATCGATGATAATTGTTATTTTGTTTAGTTTTGTTTATTTTGCAATCGACAAAATGACCAATGTAATTATAAATACTAGCAGAGAAATGGAAAAATGACAGCTGTAAGTAAACATACTTTTTAATGTGTTTTCAAGTTATTGATTAAATTTTATAAAAATTACTTGAATTTTACTTTTTTAATTAGTTTAATATTTTTTAATATTTATATTTTTTTGATAAATTTTAGTATAACTAAGCGTATTTTAAAGAATATATTAAAAACAATATTTAACACATCTCTTCCTGCTAAGCCTCCCAATGGCCAACTTCGGCGTTCCCCTGAGGATGTATAATTAATCGTCTAAATAAATATCCACAATAATTGGAAAAGAATGGCTCTCAACCAGTGGCTGTATGAGCAAATGAATCAAATGTTGTCTTCAAGTTCTACCTTTTATCTATCTCTTTTCTTCTTTATCAGCTTCCTCTATGTGTTTAAGCTCTCAAGAAAAACCAAATCCAAAACAAACCTGAATTTGCCTCCATCACCACCAAAACTACCGTTCATAGGCAATCTGCATCAGTTAGGTGAACTGCCACATCGATCTCTTCGAGACCTCTCACTCAGGTATGGTGACATCATGTTGTTGCAGTTGGGGCAGATGCATACTCCAACTCTGGTGGTTTCATCTGTTGATGTTGCCATGGAAATCACGAAAACACATGACTTTGCTTTTTCAAACCGACACCAAAACACTGCTGCAAAAATCTTATTTTATGGTTGTGCCGACGTTGTTTTTTCACTGTATGGAGAAAGTTGGAGGCAGAAAAGAAAAATATGTGTCCTTGAACTTCTGAGCATGAAAAGGGTTCAATCATTTCATCTCAGCAGAGAAGAAGAAGTTGCCAATTTGGTGAATAAGATACGGGAAGCATGCTCCAGGGATCCTTGCTACGTGAATCTAAGTGAGATGCTGACGTCAACATCAATCGATATTGTAAGTAAATGTGTTTTGGGAGGGAAATACACGGGAGATGGTAAAAGCAGTGTCAAAGAGTTATCAAGGAATGTTATGGTCCATCTTGGAGCTTTCACCTGGAGAGATTATTTCCCTTTGTTGGGTTGGATTGATGTTCTCACTGGAAAAATTAAGGAATACAAGGCCACTTCTGGAGCATTGGATGCTTTAATTGATCAGGCAATTGAAGAGCATTCTACAGTGAAGACAGAAGGTGACCACTCCGAAAAGAAAGACTTGGTGGATATCCTTCTCCAACTTGAAGAGAACAGCATGCATAATAACTTTGAGCTAACCAGAAACGACCTCAAAGCACTGCTAGTGGTATATTCTATCTCTTATTTATCATTATCTTTTACTCTCTCATCAAGTAAGACGTTCAATCCATAACTAGGAAGCTAGCTGGAGTTAGGATTTGAAAGATTTAAGTCCTCTTTAATTTTAAATTTAATTTTTAAGTCTAACTTATTTATTTAATCTTTGTTATTTTTTGATAATTAATCTAACATTTTAAAGAGTTTGGTATAAACTTTAAGTTTTTTTTTTGTGCATTAAAAATATTACTTGAAGACCATTTTTTTAGGAAGAAAGGTGACTTGTATATTGCATCTCTCCTGGTCTTTAAACCTATATTTTAAAAGCATAATCTGTAACAATGCTTTTTAAATAAGCAAAAGAAACGTACCCTTAAATAAATAAAAATATAATTTAAATCAAGATAAACGAATTTAAACTTTTAAATAAAATAAATTATTTTTTAAATATTATATTATTAGAAATTAAAATAAAATTATCTTGTTGAAATTTAGATGCTATGTTAAAAAAATATAAACACTTAAAGAATAAAATTTAACCAATTCAAATATTTATATTGAAAGAATAAATAATACACCCAAAGATTTTTTACTTTATTAAAATTGTGCTATAACTCACCAAAATCAATTAAGTTCATTAGAGGTTTTTTTTTTTTTTTTAATTATATATAATTAAGTTTGATCTTTCCTATTTGTACTAGTAATTAGTTGGTTACTAGTTTTTCTAAAGTAATAAAATACAACTAATTTCTTATTAGAATTCAAACTTTAATAGTTATTATACTAACCGAAACAACTAAACTTAAAAGTCGTACAACGATATATAATTGTATATTAATTATAAATTGTTAAGCTTTGACCACAAATAATTCTTTAAGCAAGCTGGCAACTTCATGTAGGACTAAGTTTAATTATTTAATATCCTCCTTTAAATTTGGCTTGTTCATCTTGAGTATATTTTTCAACTTCAAAAACAAATTAGCTGAGTGGTTTTGTAAAAATGTATGTTGCTTCATTTTTTAAAGTATAATATTCTATCATAATTTCTTTATTTGTTATCAAGCCAGAATGTAATGATGCTTAATATCAATGTGTTTAATGTGATCATGAAAATTAGATTCTTTGTCAAAATAATTATTGATTTGTTGTCACAAAATATTTTTATTGGACCATTTTGTTGGTATTGTAACGCACTCAATATTCTCTAGAACCAAACTCCTTAAGTAACACAATTTGTAGTTGCAATGTATTTTGCTTCCGTTGTTGAAAGAACAACTACTTGTTGTTTGTAGGATTAGGAAAATACACCTGTGCTAAGATGAAAAACATAACTTGAAGTGTTTTTTTAAGTTTCAATTTTATCAACCTAATCACCGACTATTATTCAATCAACTCTAAGTTGTTAGAATTCAAATAAAAACTATCTTTGTGATCAATTGTACTTTTGACATATCTCAAAATTCATTTTGCACCTTGCCAATAGGATTATCTTGGTGATT